AATAAAGTGGCTTGGGCACTTGCTTTTGGAGGCTGTTTGAGGGTACAGGTGTTTTTTGTTTGTTTGTTTGTTTGTTTTCTGAGACAGAATTTTGCTCTTGTCACCCAGGCTGGAGTGCAATAATGTGATCTCTGCTCACTGCAACCTCTACCTCCTGGGTTCAAGTGATTCTCCTGCCTCAGCCTCCTTAGTAGCTGGGCTTACAGGTGCCTGCCACCACGCCCGGCTATTATTTATTTATTTATTTATTTAGTAGAGACAGGGTTTTCCCATATTGGCCGGGCCGGTCTCAAACTCCAGGCCTCAAGTGATCCACCCACCTCAGTCTCCCAAAGTGCTGGGATTACAAGTGTGAGCGACCACAACCAGCCATGGGCATAAGTGTTTCTGATGCCCTTTCTGAAAGCTTTTGTAGGGGCCACTCGTTTAGATAGGTAACTAAGAATGCTAAGTTTTTATTATCAGTTAACAGTTTATTGTCTGGATATGAGAAACAGGAAGAAACTACTCACGTGTGATGCGGCAAGTTTTTGGTGAAACAAAATAAAGAAACCAAGCAGTCTCTTAGAGCAAAAGATAAGTATCTTGAATTTCTGCAGAATCAAATATTGGTCACGGATCCTACTGTGAAGATACCATACTTCCAGTGTATTCTTGACCTTCTATGTTAAACTCCACACTCTGGAACAATCTCTCCAGGAATTTTACAGCCAGTCTCTGCAGGCTGTCGGGAGAGCGTGCTACATGCTGGGCTGCGCTCGGGTATTGCAAGGGCAGCCAGGTCTGCCCCTGACTTGCCAGAGCCACTTCCAGCCCTTCGGCATCCTCTCCCGGAACCTCCTATTACCTGTCTGTCTCCTCCTTTACTTCCTCTACTTGGGAAGATGACAAAAATAATTGATCCTAAAGTATTATTGGTGTGTGTGTTACTTACAGGGGGAACCTCGAAAGTGAAAAAGGGAATTACAGGACTGTATGTTAGGTTATGTCAGGGATCTGTTCATTGCAAGAGACAGAAACTTACTCAAGTTGGCTTAAGTTTTAAAAAAGGGAGGAGAGGAGTTCTTATCAGGAAACGAGTTCACACGAAACTTGACTGCAGATAGTATAGTGTGGCCTCAAGGGAACTGGAAAGTCCTCAGTCAGCCACTCCCTCCAACTCTTCTTCACTCTCTGGAGTTCCGTGTTTCTTATCGCTCCTGCCTGTGTCCACCTTAATCTTTTCTCTCAGCAGACAGCTCTCTTCACTCAGCTGCCAGCTGGCACATGGTCTCATAAAATGGCTGCCCTAACATGGTGGCCCCCGCACCTCGTGACTGTGACTTTTAAGTCCAGCACCAACTAGCTAGACTTTCTGTGTCCTCCAGTTCCTGAGAGGGAGGATCTGGCTCATGTAGCCTACAGGTGATTCCACCGGGGTCAGCTGACCATATCTGGCTCAGTCAGCCGTGGTGTCGCTACTGTTGGGCCAGTTAGTTTCTCTCGAAGACCAGCATGGTTGGTGTATTATGCAGGATTTGGTTGAGCTGCAGTGGCAGAATAGCCAAAATAATAGCAGCTTAAAAATATGAATTTCGGCCGGGCGCGGTGGTTCAAGCCTGTAATCCCAGCACTTTGGGAGGCTGAGGTGGGTGTGAACCACGAGATCCAGAGATCGAGACCATCCTGGTCAACATGGTGAAACCCCGTCTCTACTAAACATACAAAAAATTAGCTGGGCATGGTGGCACGTGCCTGTAATCCCAGCTATTCAGGAGGCTGAGGCAGGAGAATTGCCTGAACCCAGGAGGCGGAGGTTGCGGTGAGCCGAGATCGCGCCATTGCACTCCAGCCTGGGTAACAAGAGCGAAACTCTGTCTCAAAAAAAAAAAAAAAAAAAAAAAAAAAATGAATTTCTGACCAAGCACAGTGGCTCATTCCTGTAATCCCAGCACTTTGGGAGGCTGAGGCGGGCAGATGGATCGCCTGAGGTCAGGAATTTGAGACCAGACTGGCCAATATGGTGAAAACCTGTCTCTACTAAAAATACAAAAATTAGCCAGGAGTGGTGGCGGGCACCTGCAATCCCAGCTACTCGGGAGGCTGAGGCAGGAGAATTGCTTGAACCCAGGAGTTGGAGGTTGCAGTAAGCTGAGACTCTGCCATTGCAGTCCAGCCTGGGTGACAAGAATGAAACTCCATCTCAAAAAAAAAAAAAAAAAAAAAAAAAAAAAAAAAAAAATATATATATATATATATATATATACACACACACACACATATATGCACAATATATATGTATATATATGTAAATTTCTTTCTCATGTAAGAGGTGAGCAGTCCAGGACTGCTATTATGGCCCCTTGATCACGACCTGGGTATGCAGCTTCCATCCTCAAGGTCACCTCGTGATTCAAGATGGCTGCTGAAGCTCCAGTCATTACATCACATGGAGTTGCAGGCTGGAAGGAGGAAAGAAAGACAAGCTCCTCCACTCCCTGCCATCATCTCCCGTGAAGCAGCCTTATTAGGAGTCCTACAGAACACCCGCTCTTATCTCGTTGCTAGAACCTGGTCACAGAGGTTGTGCACACTTAGCTGTAAGAAAGTCTGAGAAATGGAGGCAGCAGCAACGCGGAGGAAACGGGAGCGAACCGAGAGCTTAGTGACCAACATGAGCCTCCTCAACAAGCCCAAGAGTGAGATGACCCCGGAGGAGCTGCAGAAGTGAGAGGAGGAGGAATTTAACACGAGTCCCCTCTCTGTGCTCACTCAGTCCGTAAGGAACAACACCCAAGTGCTCATCAACTGCCGAGACAAGGAGAAACTCCTGGGCTGCGTGAAGGCCTTCGACAGGCACTGCATTGGTGCTGGAGAAGGTGAAGGAGATGTGGACTAGGTACCCAGGAGCGGCAAGGAGAAGAAGAAGTCCAACAAAGGTCAACAAAGACCGGTCAACAAAGACCGCTGCATCTCCAAGATGTTCCTGCACGGGGGCTCAGTCACCGTGGTCCTGCGGCGCCTGCTCATCGCAGGCAAGTAGGAGCCACCTGTCCCTATCAGTCAACAGCACTCACTCCCCTGTCCTACGGAGACTGCTGGTGTTGAGATTTATAGAGCTTTTTTTTTCTAAAAAAAAAAAAAAAAAAGAAAGAAAGTCTGAGAAACGAAGCTTGTTTTGTTTTGTTTTGTTTTTTCAGCAAGACACATTGTCACCCAGAATATAATCAGGGACCTTCCAACAAAATAAAGAATCAAGAATGAATATTGAGGGATGATCAGAGTCTAAGCCAGAGTCGGGAGGAAATAAAGGACACTTCCAGCTATGTTTTAATGTTTTCTTTTTTTATAAGAAGGCCATGTCACTTTGGAAATTTAAAACATAAGTAAAAGAACGATTTTGGAAAAAAATAAGAGAAATTCTGAAGAAGAGAGATCAGCATATACCCTATAGGCATAGTTTCTGAAAGTGGAACTTCAGGCATCAGACACACGGTGTTTTAGAAGAGGGAGCAGAAACCTTGCCAGAGGCCCTCAAGTCAATGCACATGAACACATGGGGCTAGGGCACTTTGCCTGTGGGTAACCCTGCTCCACAAAGAGCGGTTTAAAAAAAAAAGCCTACCCAGGTTGTGAGAGTTCTGTAGGCATGGATGCTCATCCCTCCTACACTTGAAGCCAAATACATGTTTTAATACATGCTAGTTTTCGCCAGGTGCAGTGGTTCATGCCTGTAACCCCAGCACTTTGGGAGGCTGAGGCAGGAGGATTGCTTGAGCTCAGGAATTCAAGACCAGCCTGGGCAAAATAGGGAGACCCCAACTCTACAAAAAAATTTAAAAATTAGTTGGTGGCACACAGCTATAGTCCCAGCTACTAGGGAGGCTGAAGTGGGAGGATCATTTGGGCCCAGGAGGTCAAGGCTGCAATGAGCCATGATCACACCACTGCACTCCAGCTTGGTAATAGAGTGAGACCCTGTCTCAAAAAACAAAACGAAGCAAAAAAAAAAAAAAAAAACATGCAAACAAACTCATGCTAATCTCCATGTCTGTCTACCTTTTCTTCTCCACTTCACGGAGGGAAACAGGAATTTTGCCATGCACTAGAATGCAGTTCTCTCTCTCCTCACCACAGTCACTCCCTATGCAACTACCTGAGAACTCTTTCAAAAATGCAAAGCAGGGGGCTGGGGGAGGGAGAGCATTAGGAGAAATACCTAATGTAGATCACAGGTTGATGGGTACAGCAAACCACCAAGGCACGTGTATACCTACGTAACAAACCTGGACATTCTGCACTCGTACCCTAGAACTTAAAGTACAATAATAATAATAATAATAATAATAATAATAATAATAAAGAACGCAAAGCAAACCTGTTCCTCCACTGTTTAAACCCTTCTCAGATTCCCTGACCAAGGCAGGCAAACTCCCTCCTCATAGTGCGCCCCTAATTTCCAGTCCTGCTTTCTGCCAGCTCCTCTGTCTCTTCCTCCTCCCCAGATCTAGCCTCCAAGAAGCTTCTGATCTCGGGGATGCCCTGCTCTCCATTGTCTACCTAGAAAACTCCTACTTTCCCTTTAATGGCCCACTCAAAGCCACCTCCTCTGTGAAGCCTTCCTTGATTGACTACAGGCATGGGCCCTTTTTTCTTTCTTTTGTGTTCCTGTGACACTTCATGACCATCTCTGCCAGCAGGTCTGTCTTTTCCATTAGAGCGAGAACTCTTCCAGGGTAGAAACTAGGCCTTATTTTTTGTCTGTGCCTCAATGCCAAGCACAGAGCCTGGCATGAATTAGGTGCCTAGTATAAGGCAGTTATAAGGAAATAGAGCATAGTGGTTGAGAGCATAAACTCTGGTGCTACCCCACCTGAGTTCACGGCCAGGCTCTGCTACTTACTTAACATCTACGTGCTTCAGTTTCCCCACTTATAAGACGGAGATAAAGATATTCCTATCCCATAAGTTTCTGTTGAAGACTCAATGAAGGAATACATGCAAAAGGTTCATCACTCATTACATGAAATCTCTTATATTAATTACTTCTGAATACAGTGCTGGTGTCGCAGAAGGGGCACGTGGAACCCCGCCCCTCACCAGCTCAAGGGCTTTGGTCAGACGAGACTCCTTCTCTGACAGATGTAGGTTGACATTATTTTAAAACACGTTGTGCATTTCATCTTCCTGAAGAAACTCAGGCAGGTTACAAAATACCATCTCTTTGCTGGAAGGACCTTGCGTAATTCCTTGGCTCTAGTCCATTTGTAGGGAACACATTTAGCAACCCAAACAGAGTGTTGGAAATGGGTTGCCTGGAAAGGGTTAACCACAGAGCTTTAGAAGGAGTTGGGCTCTGGGGAAATAGAGATTTCTAGGGATGGTGGAAGATGTGGCCTCCCTGCCCTCTGGGACCCTGGGAGGCGTCGCCATGGTGATGCAGAGTGTGGGTCCACTTTGTATGTATTTGGGGCTTTTTGTTTCTTCTGTTCTGGTGAGGGTCAGTTGAGCTGGGTTATGAAGAAATGAGGTACAGAGAAAGGGAAATGCTTTCTTCAGCCAGGGTAGCAGGGGAAGTTACTGGAAAAGCAAGGACTAGAACTTACAAGTTAGCTTATTAAACAATATGTATGCCAGGCCCCATTCTAGGTACGGAGGACTTGTCAGCAAAGCAGACAGTGTCTCTGGTCTAATGTGAGGTCTAATGGGGACAACAGGCAGGAATCAAGGAAGCAAGTAAATACGTGGCATATTGCACCAATCCCAGGATGCCCCTCTCTTTTTTCACATTTTAAAATGTCTGAAATCAAGGTGGATGCGTGTTACATTCAGCGATATGTCTTGAGAACATTTTCTTCCCTCATAGTCATATGTAAAATAATGCTGTACCTTATCCCTGATGGCATCTGAGATTTAATAAGATAGAGTCATATGATTCAAGTGATGGCATTCTCACCTCCTTAATACTGATTTATTTTCTATCCAAGCAACTTACAGTAGAAACTCCTGCCTGAAATGGATAATTTCTCTGACTGATCTATTTCTGGGACTTCTTTAGAAATTCATGGTTCTTTCAGTTATATTTCTGTGAATCCACTTTTCTTTGGAACCAACAAGGACCCTGCCTGTATTAGTAAGGAATTTATTTGGCTACAAATAGGAGAAAATCAGAAGCACAATGATTGACACTCAGGCTGGCACGGCTCCTCTTCAGGCACCCAGGCTGCTTCTTTCATTCTACTCTACCATCCTCAGTGCAGGACTTTAGTGCTCATGGTTACAAGACAGCTGCTGTACTTCCTAGTCTCACATCCATGTTCCAGGCAGGAAGAGGGAGGAAGGACAAAAGGCATGCCACTCCCCTGACTCTTTTTTTAAAAAATTAGGAAAACAAGCTTTCCCAGAAGCGTCACTAGCCTGAACTTGCCTACTTCTCACAGTGCATGTGGTGTCACACAATCACCTCTAGCTAGAAGATGCCTATGGCAAAGAGGGTTGTCTGAGTGAAGATGAGAAGCCAACGGAGTCTGCTCCACTGAAGAAATAGAACAATGCAGTTGTCGTCAGTGCGTTGCATGCGTGTGATGGCATTTGTAGTGCAATCAGAGGAAGGAGGGGATGCCGTTCCTGTTCCTGAAGGGAAGTCACTATGCGGATTTGCCTTACCTGAAAATGTGACAGAGCCAAAGAGCAACGTCGTGACAGACCTTCATGCTTGTCTCCACATACCCAGCCACCTGGAGGAAGAGGGTGATCCCACAGGCGTCGGCCGTGTTACTACCCACTTTCTAACTTCCAAATAAGAGGGAAAGGAATATTCCAGACCAGGGGAGTCCACCCCCAACTATTGGAGCAGAGCTTCAATTCTTCCCAGAGACTCTGAAATGACTCCATCAAAAAGTGGAGCAGCTCACGAGGGACCAAAACTGCCAGGCCAGAAGATGGACAGCTCGGCCAGAAGATGGACAGCTCAGCCAGATGCACGTGTCCTGAGGGCGGGATGTAAGTCTTGGGCTGAGGCTCAGCCAGGCTCTCACATTGAGGGGAGGGAGGAGGAGGACTGGTCAGCAGAGGGACACTTTCAGGGGTTGTGGGACACTTTCACTGTTGGGGGAGCAAGCGCGTTAACTAAGGTATTGGTCTTTGACAATGTTTTGTTTTGTTTTGTTTTGTTTTGTTTTGTTTTGTTTTGTTTTGAGATGGAGTCTCACTCTGTCACCCAGCCTAGAGTGCAATGGCACGATCCTGGCTCACTGCAACCTTCACCTCCAGGGTTCAATCAATTCTCCTGCCTCAGCCTCCCGAGTAGCTGGGATTGCAGGCATGTGCCACCACACCCAGCTAATTTTGTATTTTCAGTCGAGACAGGGTTTTATCATGTTGGTCAAGCTGGTCTCAAACCCTTGACCTCATGATCCACCCACCTTGGCCTCCCACAGTGGTGAAAGTACAGGCGTGAGCCACTGTGCCTGGCTAACAACCTTTGTTACCAGTCTGCTGGTCTTCTTTTCCCATCTATCTTTTCATTCTAGGCTTGTCAACTAACATACCAGTAGAATTCCTTTTGAAAATGGCTGAAAAACTATACACATTTACAGAATTTATTGGGACCTACAGTGGTATATTGCAAAAATAGCCACAATCCTTCACTGCGTCTATATGTTTACCCCTAAGCTAAATGACTCTGTGCCCCTCCTCTCCACTCCTTGCATTGGGGATGCCCTAGGGACTCGCTCTGGCCAGTAGAATGCAGTGGACCTTGTTTGTACAGTTCTGAAGCTGTTACCTACTTCTCTCTCTCTGGAAACTCATGTGAACAAGCCTGGGCTAGTCTGCTGAAGAATGAGAAGCAGAGAAGCTGCCCTTGCTGAGGCTGTCCTAGTCTAGCCAGGCCCCAGCCCACAGGCAGCTGGCCTTGAACATGAGCAGGCTGGCAGAAATATGCCAGACTGCAGAATTGTGAGCTAAAGAATGTTTGTTTTGAGCCATTAAGTTTAGGGAAGATTCGTTAAATAGGAAGAGCTGACTGATGGACTTACTATGCTCTGGACACTGGCTAGGAACTTAATGTAATAGTCATTTCTTTTAGCTATATTTGTACCGGTTAGTGTGCATAGTATGTGCTCAGGGAAGAAATAGCTCAGGCTGCTTCTGCGTGTGCTCTCCTTCAGGCTGAATTTCTGTACAGTCAATTGCTCTAAAGAGCTTTCAGGCACTGACAAAAGGACCAGAATGTTCTGTGACAATCTCTGAACATTCCTCATGCTCTAGTCCCTTAAAAGTGTGTGGGATTGCCGGGCATGGTGGCTTGTGCTTGTAATCCCAGTACTTTGGGAGGCAGAGGCGGGTGGACCACCTGAGGTCGGGAATTCGAGACCAGCCTGACCGACATGGAGAAACCCATCTCTACTGAAATCACAAAATTAGCTGGGCATGGAGGTACATGCCTGTAATCCCAGCTACTTGGGAGGCTGAGGCAGGAGAATCACTTGAACCTGGGAGGCAGAGGTTGTGGTGAGCTGAGATGGTGCCATTGCGCTCCAGCCTGGACAACAAGAGCAAAACTCCATCTCAAAAAAAAGAAAGTGTGTGGGATTAGGGAGGTGGTGCTCTAGTCAGAATCCATCCTACTTTTCAGCCTACAGAGACTCAATCTGGGGAAGCATCTTGCTACTTTTAAGTATATGTAGATTTCTAGATGCCAGGAACCAAGGGATGATCCTTTCGTGCCACTCACCAGACAGTCCTAGGGCACTGAGGGAGGGAAAGCAAGGCACTAGATGCTTTCTCCATAGTATGAAACGGGAGTCTGTAGAGGGTGGTCGCTTAAAGCCCTGGGCAGGATGACAGTCACCGAAGCAGTGACCATGATAGGTGCCAACCTAGGGCAACCTCACGCCAAGGAGGAAGGAATGACCTCAGGCTGGTGGCACTACCTACCTCGATAGCTGCACTCCAGTGTGAACAGCCCCACTCTGGATCTTACTGTGGGCTGCAGACACAGTTTGCCATAGCCCCTTGGGGTAACAGACACTTATTCAAAGTCAAGGTGCTTGCCAAAACTTTAAATGTAAAATTACAAATCATTAAGGGTAATATGATACAAATGGCAATAGAAGCCTTGGTAGCATTTTACTTTGATTTCATTTTTGCTTGTCTTTCACTGCCAGCCTTGTCTAAAGTTGCTGCTGGGGCACTTCATTCACACACCTCTGACCCTTCTGCGACGGCACTCAAGGAGCACGAGAGTGGAGGCCACGGAGACCCTCCCACACAAATATGGTGATTTCTTAGAAATCCAGATTTCACTTTTTCAACATGGGTTTCTCCATTTACCCTCTGGGAAGTGTATGGCAATGTTCAATTTCCTTTGGGAAGTGGAAGTCAATATTAGCCATTAATCCAAAAAGTATCCTTCATGAAATGCTTAAGGAAGGCACGTAAGAATCCAATTGACTGAGTTTATTTACTACCTATGGGCTTTGGCTGGAGGAAGGAAGACTAGTAAATAACCTGGGCCTTAAATAATCTGAATCCAAATGTTAATGTCCTTTCTTCCCAAGGGACCTGGGAAGGTTGGAAAGTGGTCATTTCTCAACTACTTCCCTTTACAGCCTTTGAGAGGTAGATGGTGCTGAATATGTTTCAATGGAGCAAAACCAATATATATATATATATATACACACACACATATGTGTATATATATGTATATATGTAGTAAGCAGAGATCATGCCACCGCACTCCAGCCTGGGTGACCAGAGTGAGACTCATACACACACACACACACACACACACACACACACACACACACATCTCCATCTACATACACGTATGTGTGTGTTTATATATACACACATATACATTTGAGATGGAGTCTCACTCTGGTTACCCCGACTGGAGTGCAGTGGCATGATCTCTGCTCACTACACCCTCTGCCTCCCGGGTTCAAGCGATCCTTCTGCCTCAGCCTTCTGAGTAGCTGGGACTACAGGCATCCACCACCATGCTTGACTACGTTTTTGTATTTTTAGTAGAGATGGGGCTTCACCATATTGGCCAGGCTGATCTTGAACTCCTGACCTCAAGTGATTCGCCTGCCTCGGCCTCCCTGTGTGCTGGGATTACAGGCTTGAGACACTGCGCCTGACTTAAAAAAATACAGAAGTGTTAACACGCTCTTGAAGTGTTTTATATCAAACTTCTTACAGGGAAGGAGTTCAGATCCGTTAACCATTCCATCGCTGAGAGAAGCCCCTACCCAAAGACAGTTAATGTCTCTAAGGGTGACTGATGAGAGGATTTCTGATGAAGGATTCCAGAGTTTTCAAGTTGAAGTCTTGGGCTATGTGGGTCTCACTTCATCTTCCTTTTTTTCAGCTCCCCTGTGGCTACCTATTTCCAAGGAGTTCTGTGCTCAAAACCCAGAGGCTTAAAATAGAGCTCATTTCCCAGAATCTCAGGTACTCAGAGGAGAGAGGGGTGGAGACTTCTTGGACACGAGCTCACATTAGCTGATGAAACACAGCTGCGCGTGCCCAACATGTCTGTCCAGCTAATGATGACAGGGAAGGAAACTTGTTTTGCTGGAAAATACCACAGAGGTTTTTGCCTCATGTTCATGGGAAGAGCTGAAGCTTCCACCCTCTGGCAACATGGGCCTGACCCAAACGAACCTGTGGCTGGGACTAGCTTTTTCTAATGAAAGTTCTCAGTCAATTCCCAGCCATGAGAACTGTGTTAGATCTATAGCCCCATCACTCTCATTTTGATGGGTGTGTTACCTGAGCACTTGAGGTCATCTGTGAGCAAAGTTTGCTAGGCCAGGCATCTCCTCCCGAGACAGCAGGCTTCTGAAGCACACTTCACTTGGTGTGAAACTTCTCATTTTAAAGGAAGCTTTATAACATGGCCTGATGATCCTGAGTTCATCATATACAATCCAAGAGCAAGGTGGTCCTAGCTATTAACACTAGGCTTGTGTTCACAGGCAGCCATGGTGGTACACACCTGTAATCCCAGCTACTTGGGAAGCTGAAGTGGGAGGATCACTGGAACCCATGAGTTTGTAGTCCTGGGCAACATAGTGAGACTCTCTCCCTAAACGCCCCCCACTCCCCAACTGCCAACACACACAATCCCCACTGTTCACAGCATAGCACAGGACATCTCCTTCCTTAGGTTCTTTGCTTGGGGATGGTTACCCAAGAAAATAATAACAGCAAGCATTATGGATTAGTTCTTTATTACCGTGCAACAAATCACCCCAAAATGAAGCCACTTAATAATAAAACACGTGGCCAGGCGTGGTGGCTCATGCCTGTAATCCCAACACTCTGGGAGGCCAAAGTGTGTGGATCACCTAAGATCAGGAATTCAAGACCAGCCTGGCTAACATGGTGAAATCCTGTCTCTACTAATAACACAAAAATTAGCCAGGTATGGTAGTGCACACCTTTAATCCCAGCTACTTGGGAGGCTGAGGCAGGAGAATTGCTTGAACCCAGGAGGCGGAGGTTGCAGTGAGCTGAGATCATGCCACTGCACTCCAGCCTGGGCAACAAGTGAGATACTCTGTCTCAAAAAAAATTTTCTTTAAATAAAAACACTTACTATCTCACACCATTTCTGTGGGTCAGAACTTCAGGGGTAACTCAGTTTGACAGTTCTCAGGGTCTCTTATGAGGCTGCAGACATCTGAGGGCTTGACTGGGGCTGGAAGGTTTGCTTCCAAGAGGCTCCCCACACAACTGGCAAGTTGCTGCTGGCCTCAGCTTCTAGGCTATGTGAAGGTATTATTTTAAAAATTGAAAACATATATTATACTCACAGATATGTGCTAGAGAGATCTAAAATTCCCCCTACCTTCGTAATTGTGTCTGTTCTTCTGAATGCCCCCACCTGCTTCCACTGGGTACCTGTTCGTCTTCACTGAGACACGTGTCCATGGTCAGGTGCCTCAGTTTCTAGCGCCTGCAACCCTACGTCCTTGCCCCTCTCCTCTTCCCCAGTTGCTCAGGACCCGGCCCAGCATGACACACACAAAAGGCACTGAACATGAAGAGAATTGAATAGAACCAGTCTCCACCATAGTGCGTTCCACGGTGAAGATGTAAGCCTGACCTTGAAGAGAACTGTACTCAGTTAGAGTGAGCAAAAACATGGATTTCAATTGTCCTAGTTTGACCTCTCCAAAATGAACTAAGAACATCAGGGGAGCAGAGAGTGATGGGCAGTGAGGATGAAGAAATAGGAGCAGAAACTCCAACCATTTCTTTTCTAAGCTGGGTCGGGGCCTTCACTACACCTGGAAGGCCCTGACCTAGCTTAGAAAAGGGGGAGCCTCCCCGAGGCAGAGCAGACATAGCTGAAGATGGCTGGCCACCCTCAAACACAGCCCTGAAGCCTGACCTGCGGCTCACCAGAATGGAGAAACTCCTGGCAGAGCGGGAGGGGCACAGAGTGGAACAAAACCTTTCACTTAAAAATGGCAATGTGCTCTCTTCCACCTAGCTTACTCCTCAGCGGTTCATCTGCACAGGCAAGAAGAGGGGAGGATGAAAAAGAGGAAGGAGAGGGCATTTCCACACACAGATTAGGTTACCAAATAACTGCTCTAAGATGCCTCTTCTCCCTGGGTCTTCTGGACAATATGGCCCTGTGCTTGTTCGGAAAACACCACCTTCTCATGTGCCACTCACTCCCACTGGAGAAAGCGTTTCCTCCCTGCTCTGCTTCCCATGTCTACTCTCTCTGAGCAGAGCACTGTCCTCGCTGCTCCCCACATTAGCCATGCTGCTTCCTCTTTGTTTTGTTTTGTTTTGAGGCAGACTCTTGCTCTGTCACCTGGGCTGGAGTGCAATGGCATGATCATGGCTCACTACAGCCTCGACCTCCAGGCTCAAGTAATCCTCCTGCCTCAGCCACCTGAGTAGCTGGGACTATGAGTGCATACCACCATGCCTTGCTATTTTTTATTTTTGGTAGAGACAGGGTCTCACTATGTTGCCCTGCCTGGTCTTGAATTCCGAGGCCCAAGCAATCCTCCTGTCTTGGCCTTCCAAAGTGTTAGGATTATAGATGAGAGCCACTGTGCCTGGCTGGTTCCTCTTTCAAGGTCTGAGTAAGTCGGGACTCCTTTGTTTGCCCATTACAGAACCACACTGCACTCTAGCTTACACTAGAAAAGGAAGGTATGGATACAGAGTTCCCAAATGATCCAGGAATTCCACTTCCAGGTCTATACCCCCCAAAATTGAAAACAGGTATTCAAATTCTTGTACATGAATGTTCACAGTGGCACAATTCATAATAGCCAAAGGCAGAAACAACCCAATGCTCATCAACTAATGAATGGGTAAACAAAAGGTGGTGTATTCTACGCAGTGGAATAGTATCCAGTCCCAAGAAAGAATGATATACTTAAACATTCAACAATGTTAACGAAGCCTGAAAACATTATGCTAAGTGAAAGAATCCAGATGCAAAAGGTTCCATATTTTATGATTCCATTTATATGAAACTTTCAGACTTGGTAAAGCCACATTCCAGAAGAAGCTGCAGCCATAAAGACAGAAAGCTGACTAGTGGTTGCCGGGAGTTGATGGGAGGGGGAAAGAGGAAGTGATTGCTTAATGAGTATGGGGTTTCCTTTGAGGATGATGAAAATATCTTCAACTGGGTAGAGGTGGTGGTTGTACCACATTGTGAATGTAAGTGCCACTGAGCTGCACACTTTAAAATGGTTAATGATTAATTTTGTGTTACGTGAATAAAAAGAAACCGGCCGGGCACAGTAGTTCACGCCTGTAATCCCAGCACTTTGGGAGGCCCAGGCAGGTGGATCACTTGAGGTCAGGAGTTCGAGACCAACCTAACCAACACAGTGAAACCTCATCTCTACTAAAATACAAAAAATTAGCTGAGTATGGTGGCGGGTGCCTGTAATCTCAGCTATTCAGAAAGCTGAGGCAGGAGAATCACTTGAACCCAGGAGGTGGAGGTTGCAGTGAGCAAAGATTGCGTTACTGCACTCCAGCCTTGGTGACAGAGAC